TATTTCTTATATTTTTTTTTTAAATTTTGTTAAGTTCAATGAATTGATGTTCTTCTGATTTATAATTATTTTTCAAATAACCACTTTTACAATGAGATCAGCAGCTGCGTAATAAACTAAACTAAATACTAAATTTTAACACAACTAAAAAGAAATTATTTACAATAATTAAAATTCAAAGACAATAGGCCAAGCACACAATTAAGCAAAGAGCAATGCAGCGATTTTTGAAAACTAAAACTCAAAATATTTTCAGTCGACTCAAATGTTTACGTTGATTGATTGGTTGGCTGAAATGGTAAGAGCGTGAGATAGCACGCGGCCATAGTTAGGCCATCATTAGGCCCATTGTGCTCCTGTGTGATTACCAAATTAAGCCTTCAACAGCAACTCAACTCTGGATTTGGTAAAAAGTCTGACTTTTGCCACCCCAGTTTCCCAATGTCTCTTATTTTGGAGCATTTGGTGCCATCGGAATGATTTCCTTAAGTTTCATTTTAATATTGCTCATGTAAAATTAATTAAATACGATGAGCAGTGCTATGTTCGTTGCTTCACTATGTACTATATACAACCTTAGAGATTCGTGAAAACAAGAAAGTGCTTGAATGCTTTGCGTGTTTTATGTGCATGTAGTCTTATATGTGCTGCCATAATATTTAAGAGCGATCAAAGATTAATTTTGCTATTTTAGTTAAATAAATTTAGTTAAAAAAATAATATATTTTTCATAAATATTAATTATACCAAGTGTAGAACAAAAAGAATGCAACTCAAAATTGAAAATGTGCTGGCAAAAAATGTTGCAGAAGATGAAAGTGCCTAAAACTATGCATCGAAAATCAAGGAGATATAAAAAATTACTTAGCCGCAGAAGTAAAACGATAAATAAATGAAAAATTAAGCCTTAATTAAATAAAGTACTCATTTGTGTACCTAAAAATTTTACAGAAACAGTTAGTGCATTGTGCAATGTGCATAGTGAAAGTAAGTTAGTATAAAAGGTCAATACTGAGAATGAAGGCAAGTTAGAATATAAGATCAATATTACTAGTGATTAATACATGTGCGTAGGTGTGAATACGTGGACTAAATGCGGTGCTTTGTGCCTTTAAATTTTACTTTGTGATGTTTGTGCAAAACGTGCGCCTAAAAGTATACCTCAAAATTGTATGTGCTTTGAAGTTCAATATTAGTAGTGGTTAATACGTGTGCTTAGGTGTTACAACGGCGCCTARAGCTGTGTTTTGTGCTTCGAAATATTGTTTTGTGCCATTTGTGTAAACTGTGCGCCTAAATGTATACCTTAATATTTTTTGTGCTTTGCAGCTCAATATTAGTACATATTATACATATTAATACAAGTGATAGGTGTGCATACGGTGTCTAAAACTGTGCTTTGTGCCTCTAAATATTATTCTGCGCCGTTTGTGCAAAATGTGCGCCTAAAGGTATACCTCAAAAATGTTTATGCCTGATTTATTATTTTAATAGATATTTACATAGATGAGTGCTAATAATAATAATATTTTACATTCAAAAACATTCAAATTAGTTATTTTTTTAATAAATTCCATATACAAATACGTTGTGCACTGCTTTGCGCCTAAACCTGTGCTTCCTTGGTTGCAATTTTAATGCATTTTAATATGTATTTCAGAAAAATAATTTGGTATCATACACTTATATAATGTGAAATAGTGCCACTTATTTTAGTTACAGTGCTTAAGATGGTGCTTCTTTTGTATTAGACATCGTTCAAAATATCTTAAAGGAAAGATAAGATCGTAATTTGTAGAACAAAGTATGCGATGAACCAAAAAGAGTGCTAGAAAATGGTGCATGTTGTGCCTTAAAAGTTGCTTTTACAGTTTTTCTTAATTGAGCATAACTCGAGCAAAGTTKTGCCTAAAAGTGTGCTATACAATTTTTCTACGTTCAAGTGAAGTCGAAGATTGTGAGTGCTTAAAAACATAGGGCAAAATGAAATTAAAATAAAAGAAGGTTCAGGTTAGGTTAATGGTTTTGAAAGCAGATACACTAATATGCCTAAAACTTTGCTTAAATTTTCGGCACACATGTTTCTCAAATGTGAAACATGCTTGTGCATGTGAATTATTTTTATCATAGTTTAAAAAAAAAAAAAAATTTAATTCATGTAAAAAATTAAAAAATAGTATTAACAAAAAAGATCAAAAGGTCGTGTCTTAGTATTAATAATATTTAAAACATTGGAAACTCATATAAATAATTGTGTAGTTAGTTTTGACGAATTATTTGTTTACTTCAATAGCTGTGATCTCTTCGTAAAAGTGGCAAGATATTTAGGTAATATTTTTTCAAGTTTCGCATATTTAAAATTTTTATATATA